CGGGTTACTTCTTGCTTCGGGGAGTATCTTTTTGATGTTCTCAGCAGTGGAAGATAGCAATTCACAGAGGAAGCAAAAACATCCTTTAAGAGGGCCGAGATTGTCTCTTTGTCTTTAATGCTCTTTCCCTTGGTAATGAGAAGCCCTCTTTCTCTATAGAACATGCTGTGGACTGCGCGGTAGTAAATGCATAAAGAGTGCCCGTGTGTACAGTGGTGGACTTTTCCTTTTCCCCGGCTGAGAGCCTGGGTCAGGGCGATCAGTTCTGCTCTCTGGATGGAGATACATATGACCTGGTCCCCAGTCCTTTCAGCTGAAGTAACTACTGCAGCTCCTGCATCCCTGGTTTTACCTTTCCTCTTATGACAGTTGTAGATAAGCCCCTGCTGGTTGTCATCATGCCAGAGGGCAGCAGAATTGACAGGGGTGGGTTTCTCAAACTGGACTTGAGAATGGTCCAAAAGAAGAGCCTGATTCTGGGTAACGTACAGCCAGCATTCTGGGTTACATACAGCCAGCATTCTGGTATTCCTCAGAGGAGGGTCTCTGGCCAGGGGCTGTAAGTATAAGGTCATGAGCTCTAAGCACAATAGCATGAAGTGCTGGAAGTAGAAGATCCTAACCCAGAGTTAACTGCTTGTTCGTTTCGCTAAACTAGCAGCAGCCACCCCAGCTCTTAGGCAGGTGGGCTCTCCTATGGGGGCCTAATCATTTGAACAGGTATGCCACAGTGTGTGTACATGGCCCCAAAGTTTGGGTTAAAAATCCCTATTGTCTTTTGTTTTGTGGATGAAAAGTTTTGAGATATCTGGGTAGGAAGCAGAACTGCTTTTAAAGCCTCGAATAACCTTTGTGTAGTCTCAGTCTAGATTAGGGACTCAGTACCCACACACCACACCCATATACACCGTGTGCTGTGTATACAGGTAGACCTTGTTGTTTCTACAAACTCTGGTATCCAGAGCCAGCAATACCTCGCCACACCTAGGAATTCTCGAACCTGTCTCTTGGTCTTCGGAGTTGGGACCTGAAGGATAGCAGCAATCGTACAGTGAGACAGGTTCCTTTTGTCTCTACTCAGCTGGTAGCCGCTGATGTACAATGCTGGGCTGTTGTAGCCAATATCCTCCAGGACATTCTTGCAATGGTCCCTCATTGGCCTTCTTATAAGTTATTTTAGTTTTGAGGATTAGGAGAAGGTCATCTCCATAAAGTAAGAGTGTGGTCCCAGGAAACTTCTGATGGAAGAGCAAGAAGTCAACATTTGGTGTCTCATCACACATGATTGGATAATTCTTAAATCATTGAGGCAACCTGGTCCTGGAATGTTACCTGCTGAAACCTCTCTCTGGGTCTGTTCATTTCGAAGCAAAGATGCGTTGACTCACCTACGCCAATGGGAGGCTGAAGAATGCATCTTTCATGTCCAAGACAGTGTACATCTGTTTCTCTGGAAGAATCAGACTCTTGAGAATCAGAGGTCCCAAGTTTCTTCACAGGCAGAAGATGTGTATTCCAGGGTGACTGGCCGGGAACCAGCTTGCCCATCTCTCCAAGCCAGGGAATATGGATTGCAATATTCCTTTTTGTTTCCAGGGTCATGGGTATTGTTTGATTGGAATGGGGGAACTGGATAGTTAACAATTATAGAGACTGGGTGTTGGACTAGTCTCACACACATGTGGTACACTGACATACATGCAGACAAAACCCCCGAGTACATACAGATTAAAAAAATAAAATAAAAAAGAGACTTGAAATACCACCCATGCTTGTAAATCCTTTGATATTATTATGAGCATAATACCTGCTTGCTGATGGGACACTGATGTGTGACCAAATAAGAACCTCGGTTGTTTAAAGTGTTAATTGCTGTACTTTGCTATAGTTGAGTTTGGCTGTAATTCTCTATATTTTACTTTATATGTTTGAAAATGTCATTTATAAAAGAGGCCCCTAGGCTCCATTAGACAACCAAAGAGGGCCCTGTTTTGGAACAAATAAGACTAAGGACCTTTATGCTCCAAGATACCCCCATCATATTGTACAATCAAAACAAGGCTGCTGCTGAAGCTGGTGTGCCATAGGTTAACACAAAGAAAGGCTGGAAAAGACAAGTCATGTTGCCCTAGTTATAATCACTTCAGAGAACGAATATTTTGGCTGTGCACAAACACGCTAGAGACCAGGAATTTTAGTGTGACTGGGATGCCACATGCCAGACCTAAGTTTGTGTCGCTGGTGATAGGAGAGACAACATCTCCAGTCTGCACATGGGTGCTTTAGTGACTGAGGAGGACCAGACTCTAGGAGCAGAGTCAAGAAGAAAGATCGTGTTTCTGATAGGTGACATCATTCACAAGGACAGGGGGAGGAACTGGCAGGCAGTGACAACAGAGAATTGGCTAACCGGACAGGCTGACCTTGGCGATTCCCATGAGCAGGGTAAACTCAGATCTGTTTAGTTCTGGGTTGTAAATGTAGCCACAGTGGAAGGGTCTCAGCCTAGAAGCAATGTATACAGTGTTTCTTATTGGTTAGCATACCGCAGGTTAAGCAATGTATACAGTGTTTCTTATTGGTTAGCAGACCGCAGGTTAAGCACACCTCTGCCCTTGTGCATCTCCATTGGAGACAGCCTGGAGACATTTGGATAGGCAAAGCTCAAGCTGAGGTGTAGGAGCTAGTGAGGTATCTCGTAGGAATACCTGAGATCACCCAGCTCTAAGCCTCTAAAGAAGAACTGTGGTGAGGAATCTGCTCTGGAATGTCCATTGACATCATCGAGGAACGTCACAAAGAAGCATCCTGCAGCGTACACTGGCAAAGTATGCTCGTGAGATGAAAGGGAGCTCAGAGGGAAGAAAACCCAGTATTTAAGCTCAATATTGAACAAAGTTTTCCGGATTTACCGTAGAGCACGGTGGGTTCTGGAAAATGTCCATCCAGGTGGGATGAAAGCAAGAGGCTATGGACAATGGTGGGGACACACAGAAGAAGAAGGCATATTCCAGGGCTGATGGGGATGTGGTGTTTCTACTTCTGGCATCTAATGTTCATAAACAGTTTCTTCATTGGCCTTGTTGACATACTTCATCTTCTGGACACATATGGGATAAATATTTGATATTTATTTTTACATTCACAAATAAGCAAAATAAGCAGAAATTTAATGAAACACTGGTTGGAAATCTAGAAGTCGTAAAATTGCAATGATTTTTTTTTTTCAGGATTGGTAAAATTCCATCTGTGTATACTACTTTCTAGGTAGAAGAGCACAGGTCAGAACAGATACTGGTAACTCAAGCATTATGAAATTCATCCAATCGGGCATGATGGCACACGCCTTCAATTCCAGCACTTGGAAGGCAGAGGCAGGTGGATCTCTGAGTTTGAGGCTATCGTGGTCTAAAAGTGAGTTAGTTCCAGGACAGCCAGGGCTATTACACAGAGAAACCTGTCTTTAAAAACAAAAAAAACAGCCGGGCGATGGTGGCGCACGCCTTTAATCCCAGCACTCGGGAGGCAGAGGCAGGCGGATCTCTGTGAGTTCGAGACCAGCCTGGTCTACAGAGCTAGTTCCAGGACAGGCTCCAAAGCCACAGAGAAACCCTGTCTTGAAAAACCAAAAAAAACCAAAAAAAAACCAAAACAAAAAAAAAAAACAAACCAAACCAAACCAAAAAACTCACCTAAAAGTTAGAAAATCTGGGTAAGTCTTAGGGTAGAGAGGCCTTTGAATGGCATGTTTGTTGCCTTACTAGACATGCTTTCTTAGAAAGCACAAATTTAAGTAGGTAGAAACTTTTTGGAAGTTGCTTTTTAGAAGTTTTTGGAAGTTGCTTTTTTTTTTTTTGACTCATTCCACAAACATTATGCTTGCCAGTGACACAATGGGTACAATGCTTACAATGCGGAGACAGACCTGACTCCAAGGCTTTATTAATTGGCAGGTTCTGGTTCTCAGGAAGTAGTTTAATATCAAGTACAATGAATGACACAGATTAAATCAGCTGTGTTCTCTTTCCTTCCGAATGCATTCATTTCCTCTCCACAACATCCAGACACAGAATTCAATCCTTCTAGAAGTTCCTTCAAGCACCGTGTTTTCATAATTGGCAAGTCACAGCTGGATAACTAGACAGTGATTTAGGATGAGCTGCAACTGACCATCACATCTTGCTTAAAACAGTTAGCTACCTCTAACGTGACTTTTTTTTCCTCTAGACTCTGTTACTGAAGTCACAGTCTATACCCCAAGAATCCAAGTTCAGCCACCCATCCTTGAGACGTCAATGCAAACAGTCAAAAGAATAGCAATAAGCATCAGAGGGAGATGCAGAGATATTAAAAAGAGGGGCAGAGACATCCAGTGACTGCACAGATATCTATCATCAAGGTCCTGAAGGATGCTAAAGTTAGAGTGTTATGGACCTGCATACTACAGTCAGGTCAAGGTGTGGCCCTGCCCACCGTTGACACGTCGTCATTGTTGCTGTAAGACTGTGTCTTTTTTAAAGAGAAGAGTCCTCTGCTCCTACTGTCCCAGGCTTTCCTTCTCATGGCATAAGAATTTCCAATTTTTGAAGGTCTGTTGTTTTCCTAGTCTGATAGCTAAAGTTTCTCTTTAGAATATAATCATTTCTTCCAAGTCAATTATCTTTGGATTTCTGCATGAGTATTACCTGGTTTTGCTCTGTACCAATAAGATGCAAACGGAATCTGTTTAGAACCTATCAGGTTAAGTCACCCATCCAAAACCTTGTCAGACAGCCCAAAAAATATTAATAAGAAACAGAGAGGGGCAATATGCACATTTCATCTGGCGAGTATTGTTTCCATTCTCCATGAAATGGACGTGATCAGAAGGAGCGGGTAGCTGTTACTATCAGTTAGTTCCCTCTGCATCCATGCTTTACCCCCTCAACATCCCCTCCTGCCTCATCTCTTTCCCTTTCCTCAAGCAATACATAACCTTGCTGAATTTGTCTTTTATACAGAGTAATTCAGACTCCTTCCCCCAAAAGAATTCCCCCTTCAAGATTCATACTTGGTGCTCAGCAAAACAAGAATCACGACAGATCAACTTCGTTTAAAGGTATTTTGTAGATTACTTTTGTAACATAAGCATAATCTTAGGGTCCCATCAGTTAGTTTCTTTTTCACCTCTCCCTGCACCCTGCCTGCTGCAAAGAACCTGCTGGCTGATTAATTCTTCTGCTTCTCATTGAGACTATGGTGAGGGAAAGTGGGGTGTTTCCATAGAACACAAACAGGGAGAGTGCATACAGTGAGCCATTCCATTCCATTCCAGGAGTGTGGAGAAGGAGAACCTTCAAACAAAAGTCTGAGTAAGAAACAATCAGTAGGGGAGACAAAGGAGTTGTTCATTAAGAAGGAAAAAGAAGGCAGTTGGTGGCAGAGGGTCAAGTCTCAAAAACACAAGTCACAGGGAAACAGTAAGTGTAGACGGACTCCCTCCTCACCTCAATGTCTGCTCTTGTGCTCTTTCCTAGGGTACTGACCATGTTCTCAAACGTACTGCGTCAGAAAATGCTGCTAGCATTCATGTCAGTTTTAATAATCATCTGGATAATTTTTGAAATTTCTCAAAATCCCACAAAGGTAGGAGCGCAATCTCCCACTTTGACCAGAAGCTGCTACCTGTGTGAGCTTCTCTCCTCAGATCCTTTCACTAAGTCTCTCGTTCCCACTCAGCTCCCTTCTCCTCAGATCTATTCACGGGTGTCAGAGGGTGACGACACTGACTGTCACTACTTCTTCACTTTTTGTTCATCCTTAGTGCCTTGTCCCTCCTTCAGGCACCCGAAATGGCTCTTGCTAAGGCCACCAACTGCCATATCACTAAATAACGACTTGTCACTAAATCTGAGGGTGTATGCTTGGTTTTCTAAGCCCAGCCTGCTACTACCCTTATCCATGTGATAGCTATTTTAGTATTTTAATGCCTTATAGTTTTTCGATATTAAGTGATAAGTAGGAAAGGCTTACCACTGAAAGTTTATTTAGGAATTCAGCCATGTTTTGTCGTGGATTTCTTGTAGCATTCCTGCGTTGAAATATCAAGTACATGTAATCCCATCACTCAGGAGACAGAAACAGGAGGATTGTGAGTTTGAGGCCAGCCTAAACTGTATAACAAAATCCTTGTCGCAAAAATAAAAAACATTGACAACTGCAATTCCAATCAGATAAGTTAAAGCACAATGAGGATTTTGTCTTTAATTCATTAAAACATAAATTATATTGATATATTTTTCCCTTCTGGATCCATGTTTATACACATTTATATAAACATTATATATAAACATTATGTATATATACATATATATATATAGCATTTTGAAGAGAAAGAATTTAAAAGCCATGTTCACGGGTAGGAAAAGTCTTCATCTTCCCTATATTGTACTAATCAAGTTATAGAATAAAATGTATCATAAAACCAACTGGACAGTTTTCTTCATTATGTACGTTAGCAATAACTGAACCAGTGGAGAAGCATCCAGCCATCTGTCCAGTGGAGGAGCAGCAAAGAGTAGTGACTGACTGCAAGGTGCATAGGCTAGGGAAGAGCAAACTCAACTCTGTCAGCCTCTTCCTCCCTGAGCTCTTATTTCCAAATTAACATTCCTGGAAAACTCCTTGTGAGTGAAAATGGCTGGGAGTCGGTTGGTGTTCACAGAGCATTACACGTCTTGTCGTTTCAGCTTCAGGCCGTTCTGAATGCAAGCTTCTCCTTCCATTCCTGGAACACCTCCATGAAGTCCTCGTGTCCGGAAACGCCAGCGAATCAGTCAAGGTTTCCAACAGAGATGAAGCTGAGAGAGGAGAGCCCTAAAATGACGGCACCGGTCAAGTCACCGACAGAGAACGAGCTGAGAATCAGGGCGATCCTGGAGAAGCTAGATCAGCAGATCCCTCCCAGACCCTTCACCCACCTCAACACCACCACCAGCGCCACACACAGCACTGCCACCATCCTCAACCCTCGAGACACATACTGCACGGGGGACAAACTGGAGGTGCTGCTGGAAGCTAGGGACTACCTGGGACGCAGGAAGGAGTATGGAGGGGACTTCCTGAGGGCCAGGATATCCTCCCCAGCCCTGAAGGCAGGAGCTTCTGGAAAGGTGACAGACTTCAAAAATGGCACCTACCTGGTCAGCTTCACTCTGTTCTGGGAGGGCCAGGTGGCCCTGTCTATCCTGCTCATCCATCCCAGTGAAGGGGTGTCAGCCCTCTGGAGGGCCCGGAACCAAGGCTATGATAGAATTGCCTTCAAGGGTAAATTTGTTAATGGCACCTCCCAGGTCTTAGTTAAATGTGGCCTGACCCTAAACTCAAGCACTGAACTCTGCAAATACCTGTATAGTGGCGGTGAAGAAGTCTTCTACTGTCTGAAGCCTCAACACATGCCCTGTGAGGCTCTGACCCATGTGTGCACCAACCAGCAAGGTGTTTCTTTTCTTACTGACAAAGAGAAAGCTCTTTTCCAGAAGTGAGTATATTCTCAGTACAATGAGAGGTTCCCCCAGGCAGAGCTATCCTGCCCACCTCAATACTGAGCAAGACCTAAGATGCTTCCATCACTCAGGATTCTGGTAAGACCTATGTTGTCTTTACTGGGCCCCCTATTCAGCCACAGTTTTCCTTCCTATTGCTGTGCTCAGTAAAAGGGACTGCCCAATAAAAGGGAACCAAATGAAGTTTATTCTCCGCTACAGCCAGCAATGACCTGTTCGATCGTGTTATTTTACTACAGAGCTGGGTTTAACAAAATATCTTCCATATGAAACTGTTCTGCTGTGGCTCATAGTTGTCCCACCTCCCCACAAATGATGCCTTGATAGCGTCATGATCCTCCACCTCCTTCATCTCATCTCGTACAGTTTGCTTCTTTAAATCTTTTGTTCATCCATTTATCTCCGTGTCTTGTGTTACCATGCCAGTTCAGATTGCTCTGTTGATAACTCATCTCACCTCCCGTAGTGTGACAGCTAGAGGGTGGGACTCTCTTGCCTTTCTCAGCCTCCCTCTCTCCCTCCCTCCTTCCCTCCCTTCCTCCTTCCCTCCCTTCTTCCCTCCCTTCCTCCTTCCCTCCCTCCCACTTTTCCTCCTTTGCATACCATAGCAGACTTTTTCATTTATTCGGCCAATGTAGTCTCCCTTTGTTCACAAACAGACACTTAACTTCCTGACCTCCTTGCTCTCCATGGAGGTGGAACATGCCTCATTGCTGAAAATAAACCATCGAAGTTTCTTCTTGAAGACTTGTGAAGGTGACTGTCGCCATACCCCTCAGAACAGTGGCACCAAGCCCTGAGACACCCTTTCAGCTGGAATCCTTTTCTGTTTCCACTTAGGCAAAATCTACAGCCTCTCCACACAGCCCCCCTCCCCTACTGCAGCCTACTTTGCAGCAGGCACACACACACACACACACACACACACACACACGTGCATGTGCACATTTCTTTTTCCTTTGCTTTGCAATAAAGTAAAATGCTTGTTTCTCAGCTACTCCTTTCCTAGTTTTCAAAGTCAAGTTTAGAATCTTTTCTCCTTAAGCTTTCAAACACAAATGATTGGTGGAAGTAAGAGTAAACACCAAATATGGAAAAATTACACACTGCAGAATCTGGCCTAGGCATCCAAACGAGCTCTTGGTATGCAGTCCCCCGCACCCTTTCTGAGTGAGTGAGAACACAGCTGGGTTTCTATTCCTTTGCTTTATTTCTGATTATGCAACTCACTCATCTTTTCCTACCCACTAACTACCCTGTGTCTACAGCAGGCAACTAATTCAAGCACCATACTGAACTCTACTTTCTACCAATTGTTGAGATAGAAATTAAGGATGCAGAGAGGTCAAAAAGATGGCCTACCTTCCTTCAGATGACTTTCACCTGTCATAAAACAAGTCTTTTGGCTTAAAAAATAAATTCAAAGTGAACTAGCAGAAAACATGACTAAAAGTAGAAGCAGGGGCTGCAGTAAGAGGTCTGTGTGGTACCATAAGGAGTCCAGCCTCCTCAGTAAATGACGGGAGAGCGATTGACTTTCAGTGATAGCACGTGAGCATCTGCAGAGAGAAGATGCTGTGTCCGCCGTATTGAAAAATTTAGGTGGTCTTAAGCTGACACAAGGAGGCTCATTGTGATTGAAGGACAAGATTATAAGAGCTTGAGTAGCTGATGCGGAAGCAAATGTGGATTTTGTGGTTATTTTAAAAATCTAAAGCTTCCAGACATACACTGACGGCGTGTGGCAAATAACTCCAGCGCTCACCAGGAACTCTCGGCAGGGGAGGAAGTCTTCCCAAATCCTAATTCATTAATAATACCTCAGAGACCTCTGAAATAATAGTTTCAGTCATATTATCAGAAGTTCAAAACGGACGCTTGCTTCCCTAACAAGCAGGTGATCCATGTTGCCCGTGTGCTACAACAGACAACAGGCTAATTTGTCATTTTGTTTTTTCAAGGTCCAACATAGGAGTTGAAATGATGAAGAACCCTAAGTTTATTAGTGTCTCTCGATGTAACAGTAAGTCTCTTCTACCCTGTGGTCGCTGCTTCTGTTTCCTTTCTAGTCTCTTGGTTTTTTCAGATAGGGTCTAACTGTATAGACCAGGCTAACCTCAAACTCACAGAGGTCTGCCTGCCTCTGCCTCCTGCGTGCTAAGGCTAGAGGTATGCTCCACCACACCCAGCGGTCGGTACTTCTTGAAGTTTGTTTCTTGCAGGGGAAAAGTTTTTCAGTATTAATTGTAATTTTCTAGATTACAATTCCTAATAAGTATCTATGATACCTAACAGGCTGGATGTTGCAGATCGAAACCAATTCAAATAAATTATTTAGTATTCTGTTGATAACTTACATTGCCTATGCCTAGATTCATCCGAGTATTTCAAATATCAATACTAGCCATTCATACTTTCACCTAGGAAGTCATATCCTAGTGCCCTAGCTACTGTGTGGATGTCTTTGGTGGATAATGGTAGCTTCAGCATTGTAGGTTTAGTTTCTTATATGGGCCATCTCTCCAGCCCATGTAGATTTAGTTCCTAAATCTCCATTAGCATTGTCTCTAACATTTAGCTGTACCACTTACCAAATTTATATGGCATTTGGATCTTATTAAATGTTCAATGGCAAAACAAAGCAACATTACATAGGAAAGAATATTTACACTGCCTAATCTCCAGAGCAACTTCCCCCAAAGCCAACTTTAGCTTATCAATAACACCCATATACTTGGCAACATGTCAGAATTTATTGCCAATATTCATTCATTTGTTCAACAAATACTTATTGAAGGTCTGGTGGATAATGAGGCACTGTGGGAAGATGGAGAAAAAAATAAAGGCTTAGAAAGCTGGTCTTATAAAAACCGTTCAGCCTACTGACTCTGTGAAGAAGCCATATGCAGAGCTTCCTTTCCAATGAGCATTTGGCTTGCCTCAGAAAGATACCTGCAGTCAGGAAATGAGGGAAAAATAGAAAAATAGATCTCATTAAGCCCATAGGGAAGTTGACAGATGTAAGTAATAATCATGCACGGAATCGGTTAAATTTGAATAACTCAAATTGTCTCTGTAGCTGTTAATTGAGATGGAGGAAGAGGAGCACCCTGTGATGCTCTCTAACAAAGCACTCTTCGTCAGAGTGGCTGAGATTCACTACGTCATCCTGCACTTTTCCACCAATGGCTTTTGATCAGATAAACTCTAGTAATGGGCGAAATTGTCATGAGTAACTTTAATAGGCCAGTCTGGTAGACATAGTGTAGACTATAACCAAGGATAAGGCTAGAAAACAGCAAGACTCTAAACCGCTGTCATCCTTAAACATCATGTTAGAGAGTTTGGTGGCATTTCTCAGAGTTTTAAAGCCACGGTCCAAACGAGGAAGAAAGTGCTTCAAAGAGTGATGCTCGTTCACAACAGAAGAACTGAGTGTGACCTAGAGGAGGATCCTTATAGGTGTCACCAAGGGACATGATGTATGAAATAAAAGAAAATGTGCGGCTTCCAGATAGAATGACTTCACATTGAAAGGACAGTGGTTTCTCTGCATTCGCTTCTTACCGCCACTGTGACCAGTGCTGTAAGATGAGGGGAAGACATACTGTTTCAGCTTGATGTTTCAGATGCTTAACATAAGTCTCCCTGTCGTAGGGTTTCTATTGCTGGGAAGAGGCACCATGACCATGGCAACTCTTATCAAAGAAAACATTTAATTGGGTGTGGCTTATAGTTCAGAGGTTTAGTCCATTGTTGTCATGATGGAACGTGGTGGCATGCAGGCAGACATGGTGCCTGAGAAGGAGCTGTGAGTTCTACATCTTGCACATATGAGACCTCAAAGCCTGACCCACAGTGACACTCTTCCTCCAACAAAGACACACCTCCTAATAGTGCCACTCCCTGTGGACCAAGCATTCAAACAGATGAGTCTCTGGGGGCCATTCTATTCAAACCATCACACTTAACTGCCCTCAGTCAAGGCACAGTTGACTGCATTGTCTTCCTGGCTCAAAAGAAGAGTGTTGTTACACCTTCTGCAGTTTCTAGAGGCTGCCCACATCCCTTGTAGCCTACCCTCAGTCTCCAGAGCCACAACCATGTCAAATATTCATGCTCTCTTGTCCATCCTGCTGCCTCCATCTTCAACTGATGAGCTGGGGTTGGCCTTTCACCCAGATAACAGAACAATCTCCATCACAAGCCCAAATACTCAGTTATATCTAGAAAATTTCTTCTGCCATAAAAAGCAACATAGTCACAAGTTTGAAGATTTTTTTTTTGGTGGTAGACATACACACAGACAGAGTATTGTATACATAATAAATAACTGAATGAATGAATAAATAAATAAATAAATTTTTTAAAAAAGAGATTATGCTTAAAAAAGAAAAAAAAACAATGCCCCAAGGGGTGGCACACACCTTTAATCCCGGCACTCAGGAGGCAGAGGCAGGAGGATTTCTGTAAGCTCGAGGACAGCCTGGTCTACAGGGTGAGTTCCAGGACAGCCAGGGCTACACAGAGAAACCCCATCTTGAAAACCAAAGTCAGACAGTGGTGGCGCACACCTTTAATTCCAGCACTTGGGAGGCAGAGACAAGCAGATCTTAGTGAGTTCAAGGCCAGCCTGATCTACAAAGCAAGTTCCAGAACAACCGGGATTGTTACACAGAGAAACCCTGCCTTGAAAAACAAAAACAAAACAAATAAACAAAAACCAAAACATAAAAAGAAAAAGAAAAAAGAAAGAAAACAATGCCCTGGCATACAAGTTTATACATGATATGTTTTAGAGAAAAATTGCAGGGTTTGTCTGTTTATAGTGGGTTATCATCCAAATAAATTTATAGATTATCTTATCAGTTAATTCTCAAAGCAGAAAATATTTAGTGATGATGGGCCCGAAGGTTCTATACTCAGTGTTTGACTGTTTACTGTGCCATGCTGCCAAGTCTTCTAGAAGCCCAACTGTGTCACAGAAAAATGGAAACATAATTAATGGAATTAAAGGAAATACCACTTGGCAACTAAATTACTAGAATTTGAGGGTTTATTCTAGGCGTATTTTCTCATTCTGTCACCAGTACCATGTTGTTACTTTGTCCATAGGTTACAAATAACAGCTGCCCCTGGGGCATTGGTTTCAGGACCCACTTTGGATACCTAAATATGTAGATGTTCAAATTCCTTACATAAAATGGCCTATCATTTGCATATAACCTTATAACCTCTGCACAACTTCTTACGGACTTTAGAGTATTCTAGAGTATTCCTAATACCTGCTGGAGGGCAAATGCTGAGTAAGTAATTATAATTCAATGCTGCGGAGGGAGCACTGATGAGAAAGAAAAGTATTTACGTGTTCAGTACAGAAGAATGTTTTTCCTGAATACCTTTCATGCATGATTCTTTTGGTTCATGGATACAGCACCTATGGATACAGCAGGCCAAGCAGGGACCAGCAAGATGGCTTAGCAGGGAAAGACATTTGTCACCAACCCTAGCCACAGGACTTTGATCCCTAGGACCAATACAGTAGAAGGAAAGAATTGACCCATGCATGTTGTCCACTGACCTCTAGAGGCATAGCACATCATGGCACACACGCACACACACACACACGTGTGTGTGTGTGTGTGTGTGTGTGTGTGTGTGTGTGTAGTATACCAGCATGGAGAGAATGGCAAAAAAAAGCATGATGTAAACAGCCATGCTCTGTTATGATAAAACTCCAGGTGCCCTGCCTCCAGGATGCCCAGGAAGGCGGACCGTGACACAGCTGTCATGGAAGAGGGACTTGAGAAAGCAGCTCAGATTATTGTTAGTTTATGTCAGGTGCAACTCACCACTTTTAGCAAAGCCCTACTAAGACACCACTGAGCTGGGCATTTCGTCCTAAAGGGCCTAAAGGGAATCCTACTACTCAGTTTGAGTATCAAGCCTTTGTCAATTAATCTCTGATGAAACAGAGGTAAGTGTAAGATCTGCTGGTCAGGATGCCAGCTGGCGGGCTACTGTAACACTGCTCAGGTTAGAGACACTGTCACCCAAGAGCCAATGGGAAAGACAAAGAAAGGAAAAAATATCTCTCTGAGCTCGTGAGCTGATTTAGAAGAAAACGAACAGAGAGGAGTTGAGATGACCCAAAACCATTCAAAAGACTGAGCAAGGGGAGCAAAAGAATTTTCAGAGCACAGTATTTTTTTCACTGCTTATTTGTAAGAATAAATAATTTTTGCTATATTTTTTATTATTACAAAAAAATAAGAGGATCCTGGTACGGTGGTGCACATCTTTAATCCCAACACTCAGGAGCAAAGCAGGTGGATCTCTGCGTTCAAAACTAGGCTGGTCTACAGAGTGAGCTCCAGGGCAGCCAAGGCTATGTAGTGAGACCCTGCCTGAGCAAGAGAGAGAGAGAGGGAGAGAGAGAGAGAGAGAGAGAGAGAGAGAGAGAGAGAGAATGAGAGAGTTGGGATGCCTAAACCATAACTAATAATCAAAAATAAAGTAACAGGGGAAAAAGTTTAAGTAGTTAGAAAAAGAAAAAGACAAAGAAAGTGGGAGGGGAACCAAGGGAGGAGATTGGCTGCTTGACTCATGCCATCAAAACCACTTTCCCCAATATCTGTTACCAGAGAGAGAAGAAAACAGGGGAAAGAAATGTCAGATCGGAACAGAGATTCCCACACCTAGCGGTTACACTTTTCAAGGAAGATGGGTAACAGCCCAGTGCAAGCAGAGTCTGCTGAACTCCAGTCAGATAAATGACTGCTTGAAAAGGAAACTCATTTACTTCCTGGGAGACTCGACGCTGCGCCAATGGATCGAATACTTGCCCAAAGTTGCGAAAAGTATGTAATTGTTTTGATATTCTTTCAGGAATCAAAGCACCTTACAGTGCTTTGAGGATGGTCTCCCTCCTCTCTGCCAAGTTTTTTTTTTTTTTAATCTTATTTTACCTTTTGGGTTTGAATCTGTAAATATATATTTTAATCTACCACTCAAAAATATTGCTCTTTTGACACTTATTCATCATCTTCTAGTGAAAGATCTTTTCTGTGTTCTTGTCAGAATTGAAGCCTTTTGATCTTCATGGGACTGGAATATATAAGAAACATATGCTCCTGGATGCTGAAGGGCACACTCTGGTGGAATGGAAGAAGCACAGCCATCCTTTCATTACGGTCAATCTCTACTCCGTGATAGATGACGGTTATATTCCGCAGGAAATTGACCGCTTACTAGGTGACAAAGATACTGCCATCGCCATTACCCTGGGCCAGCACTTCAGACCCTTCCCCATGGAACTTTTCATTCGGAGAGCCATCAGTATCCGAAACGCTATTGAACGACTCTTCCTCAGAGCCCCGGACACTAAAGTCATCATTAAGACAGAGAACATCAGGGAGATGTACATAGATACAGAGAAATTCGGAGACTTCCACGGTTATATTCAGTATCTAACCTTGAAGGACATTTTCAAAGACCTTCGTGTGGGTATCATTGATGCCTGGGACATGACCATAGCATGTCACAGTAATATTCTCCACCCGCCTGAGCAAGTGATTGGGAATCAGATTGCCATGTTTTTAAACTATATCTGCTAAAGCGCCATCCCTTGGAGCCGGTGTCCACTGGCTGTGCCGTGTGATTCATCAGTAAAGATTTATTCAGTTTAGGGTCTAAGAAAAATCAAATTTCAAAGAATCAGTCTTGGAATAGAGACGCAGCTCAGTTGAAAGGGTGCTTGCTTGGCATGCATGAAGCCCTGGGTTCTTTCAGCACCACCCAAGCAGGGCAATGTGGCACTTGCTTGTAATTCCAGCACTCAGGAGGACAGAAGTTCAAGGTTATCCTTAATTACCTAGTCAGGTGGAGGGGGCTGAGCTATGCGGAAAGCTTCCTTGATTAAAAACAGGAGTCATAATCTCGAAAGAATACAAACTTAAGAACAATGACTATGGAGATGGGATATTAAGCCAAGAAAACTAGACGTGAAGGACAATCCCAGAATACACTACGTTTATCTCCATGTTAATAAATAAGAGGGCACCAGATCTCATTTCAGGTGGTTGTGAACCAACATGTGGTTGCTGGGAATTGAACTCAGGACCTTTGGAAGAGTAGGCAATGCTCTTAACCACTGAGCCATCTTTCTAGCTCAATATCTTTATTCTTTAAATATAGTTTGAGTCATGATTTCTGTTACTTTTGGCTGAACCAAGTAACAGGGCGAGTTAAAGGGAGAAGACATGTCATTGCCATTATGTTCCAAGATTTAAAAAAAAAAATCACCTCTTTTTCTGCAAAAGAACAGAGAGTAAGTATTTTAAGTTTGGGAGACTATGCCATCTCTGTACTTCTGCCACCAAAGCACAAAACAAGACAAACATGTAAGCAAATACAAATGTTTGTGTTTAAAAAAAATAACCTAGTAATGAACACTAAAAATTGGTTTGGGTTGTGGGGTTTCAAGGCAGGTTTCTCTGTGTAACAGTGTTGGTTGTCCTGAAACTCTCTTTATAGGCCAGGTTGGCCTCGAACTCACAGGGATCTGCCTGCCTCTGCCTTTCCCCAACTAATTTTTAAAAATCAGAAACCATTTTTAGACCACAAGAACTAAAATAAATAAATAAATTTATTGTGTGTGTGTGTGTGTGTGTGTGTGTGTGTGTGTGTGTGTGTGTGAAATCATTCTAAATTTTCTTAGGGAATTTAGGGACCTCCCCAAAAAAAAATCAGGTGTTGTTGAAAAATAATAGGGTTAAAAAAGTTCTTTTCCAAACATCAAGATTTGTTTTAAAGCTATCAAATCATGAGAGTGACAGAACAGAAGGGCGGGGACAGCCCTGACATAGAGTCACTTACGTGTGATAAACAGGGTACTGATGAGCAACGAGGAAGATTGTTTTCTGACTTAGAAGTCCAGGTAAGATGCTGGGGAGAGACCTGTCAGTAAAGAGCTTGCTATGCAAGCGTGAGAACCTGAATTCGAATCCTCAGAACCCACATCAAAAGCCAGACGCAGCAGTGCACATCTGCAACCCCAGTACTAAAGAAGAAGAGACAGGGAGATCACTGGAGTTCACTGGCCAGCCAACCTAACAAAATCAGTGATCTACAGAGAGACACTCCTACCTCAAAAAATAAGATGGAGAGAGATTGAGAAAGATACCTGATGTCGACTTCTAACCTCCACATGCACCCTCACACACATGTATGCACACACACGCACACACACACACACACACACACACACACACCCTGCATGCATCCATAAATAAACTCCTAAAAATGAATAAATAAAAGTTCTAGGAAAGCAGGACATAAGAAAGTCTCCTACATTCTACTATTCTCCAGAAATAAAATAAATATCAGGGGGGGGGATAAAGCTGTAATTATGAAAAACAAAGCAGGGAAGCCTACTCAACTCTGTCTCATCCCATGCGTGGCAAAGAGCTTCCTTTATAAAAATACATAATTGTTCAAGAATCTAAGTTTCACCCCACTGCGCATGGCAGCTATACAACTCCAGTCACTGTGACTCTCCACATGACCCTGACAGCATCCAAACCATCTGTCTCACCCTGCCAAGCCACAGCAATGCCACATGATGGTCCTGAAATCTTCAAGGACTGGCAAACGCCAGTCGACAAACGCACACAGGTCCTTGAACAACAAGAAACAATTCTCAGCTGGTTAAAGACTAAACAGTCCAGTGTCTCCGTGGCCTTAAAGCAGATTCTCTTAGCTTTGGTCCCCAAAAGGGAAAACACTGATTGGTTTGAGTATATTAAATTCGGAACTGCTTATTAAAAAGAGCAAAACATAGCTGAAAGTGGTGGTGCATGCCTGTAATCCTAGCACTCAGGAGACAGAGGCAGGTGGATCTCTGTGAGCTCGAGGCCAGCCTGGTCTACAGAGTTCCAGGACAGACAGAGCTACACAGAGATATCCTGTCTCAAGAAACCAAAAAAAAAAAAAAAAAAAGGAGAGGAGGAGAAGGACACTAAACTGGAAAGGAAAGGAAGAAGAGAGATTTGTAGATCACAGAATAGAGGACTTGCTTCCTATTTCCAGACTTTCAACACGAAATTCAGATTGTTAAATTGGTGTGCACAGCTTTAAAACAGTATATGGCCTCCAGAAAAACTACAAGCAACCAGAAGGTAAATGACAAGTGGGGCAGGAGGCCCTTGTAACTTATATCCTTAAAAAGAAGCAAATACACCCGCCATTTAGAGATCTCTTAAGAAGTAAAGAGAAATAGATCCAGAGAGAAAAATTAGCCATACAGTAAATGTGTGTTCACCCTGTATGTGTATAATTCAGAAATTAAAATGGCCTTTCTGCACAGAAAAAGAAATACATATTTTTTTTAAAAGAAAAAAAGGAATGCACATTAAAGTTGAGCTGAGAGATTTCTCATCTATCAGAGTGGCAGAAATCCAGATCTGAATATACGCTGTGCTGATGGGCCTGTGGAGAAGCTGGCGCTCTCAAGCATTGCTGATGGAAACACAGAACGGCGTGGTGCCTGTGGAGGGAAATTTGGGAACGTGAAGAAAAATTACATATGTATTTGTTTACCTATTGGCCCAGCATTTGGAAAGCTACTAGAAAAAAAAACACAAAATGACTATGTGCAAGATTATCCATCGGAGTGTGATTAGTGATCGCAAAAAATGGGAAAACGAATCGAACGTGCATCTGATAGAGGACCAGTGAAATGAATTATAATGCATCTTTCAGAACAATACAGTGCAGCATCAAAAGAGAATAGGAAACTCTATAAACTGTAACAATGAAACCTCCAGGATAAGCAGGGGAAAGAATGTTGCAGTGTGTACTGCGCAACCTCTTGGGTAATAAGAATAGAAGGACACAATTAAATGTATTTGTTTATACCAAGGACAAGAAACCAATGGGAAATAAGCAAGAAATGGGTAAAATGTAGTTTGCAAACACTTGGAAAATTTGTGGCTAGAAATAAGACTCCTTTAGTGCACACTGGTACACAGTTTTCATTCTGAATCACATGACTTACATAGTCAATAAATTCAATCAAGAAAATTTAAAAAATAGAAAACTGGTTTGATGTCTGACTCACACGATAGAGTGAGAACCAACTTCCTTGAGTTCTGCTCTGACCTCCACCCATGCACCATGGTGCCCCCCAACACACACACTGTACGTAAAAATGTAATACATTATTATTTTTTAAAGGAAAAAATAAATTTTGAAGTATAAATGCAACCACTATTTAACCACAGGCTGACACTCTAAAACATGTTTTCAGGGGCACTTGTGTTACACAAACATCAGAGCGTGCTTAGAGAAATCCATGTTGCTCTAGCTCAGTCCATCAACATGGCCTCTCATGCAAGGTGTTTCTTCATGAAACACCTGAGGCCAGTGCTGGTACGACACATGTTTTGCTTTATAAGAAACTGTATTTCTCATAAGTGCAAGGAAACACTGTCAAACAATAGCGTATTAACTACATGAGCAAGAACATACTAAGTACTATCATCACGAGTTATATCTGGGCTTAACTGCTAGATTTGGAGGACCCGCGGCAGAGTGTGTTCATAAGGGCATCCATCACCACAGATACAAAGAGTATCTGTGTGCAACAGTGCCAATATCAGCAGCAATAGGAAATGTCCGGCCCTGTTAGGAGCTGGTGGGACCATGTTATGTGCCGTGTAGTTACAAACCCAACACAGATTAGTGTGGCGACACAAAGCACTTCGTCTGTTCTGTCTCTGGGATTAACACATTTAAGAATGACACTTTGACAATACTTCCTCCAGGGAAATATATTCTCAGAATAACTAGAACTTGGAGCTAGAGAAATCCTGAGAGAATTCGGTTCCCAGCACCCATGTTAGGCAGCGCACAACCTCCTGTAACTACATATTTAGGTGATCTGGAACCCTTTTCTGGCTTCCATTGTCTCTTCCATACATACACACACACATACACACATTTTTAAAAATAGAACAGAAAATACCAACACTTCATAGTAATCTTTTTATTAGAAGTAATATTGCTAGTTCTACTGAATTGTATTTTGATAGTTCTCATTACATTGCACTATCATAGACACCTTTGAATATTACAGAGCACAGAAAGGCTTTTTATAAGATTCTTCAAATGGGGGTGAGTGGAGTGAGGAAGGTTCAAAATCTCTGATAATATTGACTGTTGAATTTCTTGGTTTTGATCTTTTTCTTTCTTAAGGTCTTTGTACTTAAGAGGTCACATTCTTAGTATTGTGGCATATTGAATGGCTCAACAGTCTTTTTACTAAATATGATTAGTCTCTACTTTCTAACAATTATGAGCTAAAATTAATTTTATTCATGTTTGATATGATCTCAATATATACACAATTTTTGCCCATCCAATAGTCAAATATATACACTACATGTAAAAAAGAAGCAATAGTGCTGTTATTTTGCAACTGTTTTTATATTTCGTTGGATAGCATAAAATATTATCTTCATGACATTAAGGAAACTAGATTTTTAGTGTAAAAATATGCAAGTTAAAAGGTTTTTGATTTATTTTTGAAATTAAAATATAACTGTGTTGTTTCCCCCGACACACACCCCTTTCCTCCCTCCTTTCGATACACCTCTCCCTTGTTCTCTCTCAAATCCATGGTCTCTTTTTCTCTAATTGTTGTTGTTGTTTTGTGTGTGTGCATACTCCTCAACATACAAACACAACCTGCTCAGTAACTTGCATGTGTATGATTTCAGAGCGACCACGTGTGGGTTTATTGTCGGCTCCGCTCAAGTGTCCTGGGAGGATGACAGCCCTAAGTTCTCAGGACAGGGTGAGCCTAGAGAGTGCAGGTGACCCAAATCCTAGCTAGGGAGCGATGCACAGTTCCAACAAGGGTTAAATCCCGTTAGGAAGCAGGGAAGGAAGAAAGGAGTTATAGAGTATAGACATCCTTTTTCACAAGACAAACACTGCGGGACATAGAGAGAGTCAGTCCCCATTCCAGTGTCACTGACTGCACTCTCGCAAATAGCTGGGCCATGTGAGTACACGAAGTCAGCCAAGAAACTCCTTACAGAGCTCTGTTGTAGATCAAGTCGACATAACGAATATGTACAGAATACTCCACCCAACAACAGAATAACATAGTTTTGTCATCATCATGGGGATTTTTTTTCAAAACAAACCATGTTTTAAGCCATATGGCAAGTCTTAACAAATACAGAAAAAACTTAGAAAAAAAATCTTTCTTATCTACTTATGATAGAATGAAACTAGAAATCAAGAGGGAAGAAAATTTACAGAACTATTAAAACGCAGAGAGATTAAACACTACATTGTTGAACAGTGGGTCATTGCAGAAATCAAGAAAAACTTTCTTGCGTTACATGTATGTATGGAGGTGGGGCAAGGGGAGCCTGTGTGTACCATGGTGCATGTGCAGCGTTCAAAACTCAATGGGCTGGTGACAGTTCTCTCCTTCCGCTGTGTAGACCTTTGGGATCAAACCTAGATCATCGAGCTTGGTGCCATGACATGCATCCCCACATACTTATCAGACATACACACAACAATAATAAATAAAAAATAATAAATAGTGCAGGGACTCAGCACATTTTACAAAGAACTAAAAACAGAGTAACAATATAAACACCTAAGAACTGGGAACAAAGTTCTGTGTTTATAATGAGAATGATCATTTGAACCACTTCTTAAATTTTTATGTATTAACATAAGTAGGGGGAAGAAATAAATTTTAGACATATTAAAAGTTTACGATTACAATGATATAATGTTGGAATGGCAGATGGTGGGGAGGAGGGACAAAAAGAAGGAGGAATTCTTAGAAAGGGGAATTATTAGACCCCTCAATGTTTTACATGAAGCAAATCTTAAGGCACTTATTTTCCTTTAACATCATGGTATTACCTTAGCATCCAGGAGACACTGCTGCAGTCAGTGATAAACCCGTTATGTTAAAGTCTGTTTTGTGAGTTTTTGAAGTTTGTTAATATGTCTAAAATTTATTTCTTTTCAAACATTTTTTTCATAAGTTTCAGAGAGCCAATTGGACCTATCTAAACAGAATAGACTTGCCCAAAATAAGTATTATTTAATTCTTCCCTTATAATTCCTGGTCTTGGGAATCCCTGGGAAATTTCCTCTTCCACCTGCCCCCCAAAAAACTTTTATCTTCCATCTTGGTACTCTCCTCCCTTAATCACCGGGATCTAAAAATTTTTTGCCTTTCCAGGATCTTGTGAGGTCCAAGCTGCCAGCCATCCAGTTCCACAGAGCCAGGAAAAAAAAAAAAAAAACACAAAAGTAATCAGCCACCCACCCCAAGATGTGGTCAAGCATCTCAACTCTTTGACACCCACAAAATCAGCAGGAACCAGTCACGAGAAACCTTACAATGCCCCATTCCCACCCATTAAAGACCCGAAACTCCCCGAATTTTTATAATAAAAAAAAAAACAAAACAAAACATAAGTAGGGGGGAGAAAGAGAGAGAGAGAGAGAGAGAGAGAGAGAGAGAGAGAGAGATTGAGTTTGGACATGGCCACATGTAGCTCATCTGTGGAGGTCAGAGGACAGTTCTGTGGAGTTTGCTCTTTCCACTTCCGCATGGGTTGGGGTTGCGGGGCTCAAACTCAGGTCATTGGACTTGCAGAACAAGCACTGAAGCATCTCGCCAGTCCAGGAAGTTCTTTCATGCTCTGATTTCTGAGTAAGATAGAGGGACAAAGGTTGACTTTACAGTGTAAGGAATGAGATGTTAGCTAAGGACCAGGAAGCTTGAGAGTTCCGCGCAATATCCAATCACCCTGACTATGCTAAGGATCCATGCTGAGAGGCAGAGATGCCTTGGCGGAGGAGACGCTGAAGCAGCTGTGAAGAAGGTGAGGCTCTGTTCTGAGACGCATTC